AATGAACAACAGATCACATATGATATTGTCACCTTTAAAAACCACTAGAAAACAATACAGATTAAATGTTTTGTTTAATTTTAAATTAAACAAAACAGTTTACATTTTTTTTTATTAAAAATTAAGTTAGCCACCTTTATTTTTTGAAGGATAACTTGGTATTAGCTTGACAGGTAAATCTCATCTCAACATGACAAGTTCACAATCACTACAGCCAGTTAGCTAACTATGTAGCTTACTGTTATATGTAAAGCTTTCTAGCTTATCTCCAACTGAATTAATAGTTTGATTTTCAACATGTTGACAACCAGCTAGCTTATATATTCAAAACTTGTCAGGTTCAGCATCACTGCTAAATCAAATGTTTGGGTTTTACTAGCTAGCTTAATTTAGGTTAGCTGTCACAAGATGTTTGCTCTCTGTCTTTGCTAGCTGAATACTTCCCAACATTAGTTCACTGTGAGCTAATAAATTTAAGCTAGCTAGCCAGGCAGAGAAATACCAACATGATTAGTTAGCAATCACTACAGCCAAGGCAGTAAGCTAAAGCTAGATCACTAATTAGCTGGTTAGCACAAACAACACAGCTTATTAGCAAATTATAAGCTTTTGGGCTAACTAGCTATTCTTTAACTAGTTGGATAGTTTGATTATTTGTGGTAAATATTTTTTGTTCTCACGTTCTGAGCCAGCTAACAACTTGGCTAAATAATTTCAAAACTTATCAGGTTCACGGTCTTGTTTCCAAGCCAAATCTAAATATTAATTTCTGTTAGCTTTCACAACAAGTTAGCTGGTTGGCTCCCTTAGCAGTTAAATAGATTATATTTGTATTTTGTTTTAACCTAACTTTAAAATAAATTTTCCTTATCATTATTGTTATATTGCTTTATTTAAATTAATTATACAGCACTTTGGCCAACATCTGATGTTTTTTTGTGCTATTTAAATAAATTGACAATAGCATTTAATACATCACTACATTATTTCAGAGGACTTGGTGAAATAAGAGGCTTAAGTTGGTTAGCTAAACCTTTTTGTTTTCCAACTAGCTGGCTAGCTAGCTAGTGATTTGTAGAGCTAACTTAGTTTCAATCTGATTTAAATCCCTGCAGTTTCTGCGCTAAGCTTAATATTTCTGAAGATGTCGAGCGATTTGACAAGCTAGCTCGTTTTGAACACATTATTATTATTTCAAATAAAAAACGGCATTTTTGTGCACATAAAATCTGATTGTAGTGAAACTGACAATAATAAAAAGTCTAAAGTATTTCAGTGAAAAATAAAAAAAGACCAGCCAGAGATTACTCTGCAATCTGTTCATTTACAGCTCGCACATATAGAAGCACAAACACGTTTTGATGAGTTGTTGGAAGCTAAGATTTCCAACAATGAGTGACCTTTTGTTTAAATATCAACAGGCAGATGGCGCTCCGCCGTGCGGCAGCCAAAACTCTGAGTCTGGGCTTTTACTGAGAGGAAGCAGCTAAAAATAAATCTGCTCAGCGACGGATCTAAAAAACCTGAAAACACTCAGAGCATCGAGGCAGAAACCTGCGACTCACCTGGAGGGCCACAGACCCTAGTGCACCTTCAGATCTAAAGATTTTATTTTCATAAAGAGGAAAATGCAAATTAATCAGCATGAATGTAGCAGGAAAATATGCAGATTTAGCAGCTAATTTTCTATCAGGTTGATGATTAAAAATTACAATTAACCTGCAGAACAACGAGATTTATTTAAACCATAAGGAATGTGAAAACAGTAAATTTATTATGGATGTCCAACGTGTGGCCCGGGGGCCATTTGTGGCCCTCTGGATCATTTTGTTTGGCCCCTCTGCCATAGTGGAAATTTTTACAGACCAAACAGAATCAGAATGTTTTCATCAGTTCTTCAGTATTTCTTTTTACACAATACTTTTTTACTCTGGAGTAAAGTTTCTGTATATTTGAAGTAACTTAGATGAATAAAAACAAACACACTGATAGTTTTTGTAGGGTTATAATGAAAGAAACAGATTTGGAAATATATTTTATATAAATTATTTTCATCTTGATCCTTAAAATACCAAAAGTTCACATAAGTTTGTATTTTAGTCCATCAGATGATGCTTTTAGTACAGATATGTTGAAGTAAATCTTCTTTTACTAGTTAATGTTTAGCTCAGTTTAATCTTCTGAAACACTGAATTGTGCCAAACATGCAACATGTTAGTAAATCATGAAAACTTGATGTTTGTAAATCTCTGGTGACTCTCAGTAAATCAGCTCCTGGTTCTGATCCAGTTCCTGACCTGCTAGTCGCCGCACTTTGTCCCGGCGGCCATCTTTTATTGCCGGCTGCAGCTCAGCGTTTCCTCTGAAGTGGTTCTGATCTTTTTATGTCGCTTCTGAGCCGCCGCAGCTCCAAATAAACACACTTCACTCAGGAACCACAAAGGCCCAAACCAAACCCAACGCCGCTGCCTCCGTTTCAGGAGGATTCAGCATCAACCGCTGCTTTTCCTCCCAGAATGCCTTGCAGCGGCGTTCGCCTCTCTTCCTGCTTTGTGTTTGCTGACTCAGCAGCGTCACTTTAAGCCTCCACACACATGATGACACACACTTTGACACACACGATGACACACATGATGACACACACTTTGACACACACATGACAACACACACTTCGACACATGGCATTGCGTTAGCTAGTCGTTGCGTTAGCTAGGGGTGGGGTTAGCTCGGCATTGCGTTAGCTCGGCGTTGCGCTAGCTGAGTGTTGCGTTAGCTCGGCGTTGCGTTAGCTCGGCCTTGCATTAGCTCAGTGTTGCGTTAGCTCGGCGTTGCGTTAGCTCAGCCTTGCGTTAGCTCAGTGTTGAGTTAGCTCGGCGTTGCGTTAGCTCAGTGGCGCTCAGACGCTCCTCCATCAGCAGAAGCGCCGTCTGAATCCATAAATCAGCTGCTTGTGAAAATAAACACGTTTTGTTTTGTTGTTGGTATTTTTAGGAAGTTTTTGGGGCTTGTCCTGATTCTGGTGTATGGAAGCCTTTCAGTGCCAGATTAATGGCTAAAATGATCTTGTTTAAATTTGAACCAAATGAATAATAAAAATCATTTTTCATTCATTTTGAGCTGCTTTATGTGTCTTTAACGAGCCGTAATTTTACATTTAAAAGAAAAACCTTTTACATCTGAGCAAGATATTAAACTCATCTAGTTAAATGAGTTTCTCATTAAAAAGAGAAAATTCTCGTTATTTTCTCTTGTTAATGAGAAACTTTCTTGTCTCGTTACGAGGAATTTTTCTCACTTTAATTAAATGTTCTTGTTTTAATGAGAAACATTTTATATATCGTTATAACAAGTTATTTTTTATAGTTTCTCATTATAATGAGCCATTTTAATGAGAAAGTTCTCATTGTAACTTGTTTTGAGTCTCATTAAATGAAAGTTTTCTCGTTTTAATGACAAACTTTATTACAAGATTAAAAAAACTCGTCTCATTAACAGGTTCCTCATTTTAATAAAGTTTCTCATTTTCACATGATTTGCATCTCGTTATAAAACGATTCTGCTCTTGAATCTATTTCCAAGGTCTGCCAGTAAGACACCTAATTAAATATTCATGAAGAAAGAACAACATAGTTTAATAACATGAATCATGAATTTACTGTAGAAATGTAAAAATGTAAGAGTATGGTTTTTTTCTCTGTAATGTTTTCTGGATAAATGTGAGCGTTGTTTGGAGAGTTTCACAGAAACTGACCTGAACTTCACCTCAGCTCCCTCCTTCAAACTCCGTCACCTTCTGGCGAACACATTTACAGTAAATACAAACTGGAGACACCTGTGTAAACCGCTGCCTGCCGCCATCTGCCTGCTTCTGCTGTCAGAAAAAAACAAAGAACGCCGAGACGCCCAGAGAGGCGCAGAGGACGAAACTCCTGCTGGAGAGAAGCTCAGCGGCTTTAGCTGCTAGTCATCGTCACGTTCACCTGAGTGGACAGGTGGAGGTTCAGCTAGCTGCATGCTAACACACCAGCCTCAAAGAGGACAAAATAATGTAATGAAATAACCATCTTTAAAGTACATTTTTACAGCAATAAAGCAGAATATTTTCTACACAAAACGTTTAAACTCAGATTGCAGTAAAACTTTTAATAATGTAGAAATTTGGTATAAAAGTGAGAAAACATGAACCTACCTTTACATTTTCAGGTAAACATCAGTTTATAGTAGTGTATTAGTTTAGCTTAGCTTCCCTTAGCTATCTTAGCTCCCTTAGTTAGCTAATCATAGTTAGCCTCATCTTGTTTTATGTAATTTAAAATTACTTTAGCTCAGCTATTTGTAGTTTGTCTTAACTTATTTAAATGTTTTTTACTTTAGCGAATCATTCATAGCTCATTCTAGTTAAGCTAACCAAACCTTAGCTTAGCTAGTTATAGTTTGCCTTATCATATTTAAGCTATTTAACTTAAGCTAGTCATCATTAGTCTTATAGCTTTTCTAGATTTAGCATGAGGCTAACCAGCTTAGCTAATCATAGTTTGTCTTATTTGTTTCATTTAAATTTAGCATACCTTAGCTTGTTTGCCATAGTTTGTCTCAACTTATTTAAACGTATCATAATTAGCTCATTCTGTTTACACAAAGCATACATTACCTTAGCTAGTTATAGTTTGTCTTATCATAAATAGCTTCTGTAGGTTTAGCATACCTTAGTTTAGCTAATCATGGTTAATATTATATATCTCAGCCTATCTCAGTTTATTTTATTATGTATTATATTTAAATTAAGTACATTTTAGCCTAGCTAGTGTGTCTAAAGCTTTAAATGTTTTTATTATTTTCAAATTAAATCCAGAACTAACAGGGAAGTCTTAAAATGGCGCCTTCAGTGTTTTATTGATGTTTGGTTGGTTTGTCTAAAGTTTGTTTCAAGTTTTCTGCAAACAGAAAACCTCTAAGACGTTCCACCTTTGGCTTTTCTGGTTGATATAACAGCAGAGTAAAGGAAATGAACAGTTTAATCCATTAACGTCACATTTGAGAATCAAACATTGACAACAAAAGTCTTGCTGTTTAGCTGCAGCTAATAGCCGTTAGCCGTTAGCTGTTAGCTGTGTGGCATCCAGTTCTCCCTCCTCACTTCCCACCATTCCCCACAGCTGGACGATTACACAGGTGTTTGGCAAAAACACGCTGTTTGGACCACAGAGGGGATGTGTGTGTGTGTGTGTGTGTGTGTGTGTGTGTGTGTGTGTGTGTTTGCTTGCACAGCTTTCCTGCAGGGCCTTTGTGTTTAAATGTGTGTGTTTTTATTAGCACTGATTCAGAGCAGGAAGAAAGCTGGTCTGAATCGGGGCTGAAAACTTTCACCACACTTTCTGAGTTTCCAGCTACGTCTCAGTTGTGGTCATGCTTGTAATGCTTTTCAAAACAAATCAGCGTGGTCCGGGTTCCTGCGCCGTCTAGATGGTCTGGAAAAAGAAAATGAGACTTTAGAAATCTCTAAACGTTGTCCTGACCTGGATTATTTTAGCCTATTTGTTATTTAGCTTCTCATCACCTTTTAAATTAGCTCATTAGTTTAGCCTAAAGTTGACTTATCTTGTTTTTAAAATTTTCCTTTCCACATTAAATTATTAAAAGGTTTTCTTCTCAAATTGTTTAAAAATGTTTGTTTTTCATTTTGGAGGCAGAAAATGCTACCAAAACATAAATGAACACGTGTTGTAAAAAAGGCCTCAACATAGCGAGTTAGCTAACGCTAGCACCCAGAATGTCTCTGAATGTATTTGGTTAATTTGTTCCCAAAGATTAAAATGATAAAACATTGCCAAGCTGTTTATGTATTAATACTGTTCAAAATATGCAGAATGATTATATTTTCAAGCCGCTAACAGTTAGCCCACAGTGCTAACATTAGCTGAAAGCACAATGCTACTGCTAGAAAAACAATAGCTAGGATGTCACATCAACAAACCAGTTCACAGTTTTAAATCATATAAACTTTTATTTTTAATTAAAATATGATCATAAATCAGTTTCTCTTTATTTCATTTAATATTCTGGGTGATTTTCTGAAATGTGGCTAGAATGATACAAACATGAAACTTTACACAAATGTTTTTCAAAGGATTCCTGAAAACTGTAAATGCAAAGAGAAACAAATCATAGATTATATTGACTACCCTAGTCTATTTAACTTTAGTTTATTACACATTTTACTGAAATTATTTAAATTAAACATATTTCAGCTTAGCTAGTCATAGTTGGTCTAATTGTGATTTTTTTTTTTTGACTAAATCGTATTTTGGCAAGAAAGATTATTTTAGGAAGGTTATGATGTTCATTAACTGTTTAGTTACTTTGTAGCGGAAGTTGTTTCTATTTTAAAAGTGGAACTTGTTCGTTTTGTTGCTGTTTGATCAATTTTGTGCTTTCCCGCTACGTTTGCTAACGTCCTGTGGGCTAAGCCCCCCCGGTCCATAAAACCTAGAGACGCCCCTGGACGTAATGGTTCAAAAATGCAAGAGGAGTAGAGAAAGCTGAACAGATTGAAAAAATGAGACAAACGGGAGCAACAGGAGGAGCTAAATTCAACATTTCTGCATTTAGACGACAAAATCAATCAAAACAAAAATATAATTTAGGCTTAAAAAGTGGATTTAAAGCCGACAAACGAGGGATTACATTTATTCTTCCTGAACAACATGAAGAGAAACGTGAAAACAAGAAAATACTTTTCTACACTTCTCTTAAAGTTTCTCTGTTTCAAACATTTTTTAATTTCATAAGGCTGGAAACAAATCGTCTTAATTTTCTCAGAGTTGAAGTTTGGGCGTCTGAGCGGAAACGGACCGGCTCGACGTCACGCCAGGTGAATCTTTTACTTCTGAATCTGGTTGTTGTTTGACCCGCAGACAGAGATACGGTGTCAGGCTGTGACTGTTCGTTCTGCTGCGACTCAAGGATGAAACTCAGACTAAACTGTTGCTCTAAATGTTCTTCCCTCCTTTCACGCACTGATAAAACCAGTTTATTCTGCTGTTCAGACACGATGAAAATACAAAACACACCTGCAAAAAACACAGGAAATCCAACAAATTAAACATTTAAATCAGCAGGAGTTTCTTTTTCAGGTTTTTATGATCATTAAAATACCATCTGCAGTTTTTAAACCTTTAGCTGACATTTGTGTTTTTGTTTTTTCACTTTTTGTTTGAAATAAACATAATCTCCAGAATTAATCAATTTATAGTTTATTTGATGGGATTATCTTTCAGAAAACAGAAAATATTAATACTTACTAGGTCCATTTACCTTCTAATATTTCTCTAATACTGTAATAGTATAATATGAAAATAGATTCATAATAATACAAAAATGAAGCCGATTATGAGAATGAAATCAATGTACAAAAATTGTTGTAAAAATATGAGAATAGTTATAATATTTTAACAATAAACTTGTACAAATATAAAGTTGAAATAGTATAAATAAAGTCAGTATTTCAATGATAAATCTGTAATTTTAAGATTTCATTTTCTTATCCCTAATATTTCCTAAAATTTAAAGATGGTGCACTTCATTTTTACCATGTGCGTAGTTCCGTATAACTTCTGCATATTTTATTATTATTACCCATGTGTCGCTACCAGCTAGCTGGCTAACCCCAGTAGCTCCAGCTTGACTTTCAGACATTCAGACCAACAAACCTCCTTCATGCTGCGACTTCCAAGCTGAGGAACATGGCGGTGGCAGCATCATGCTGTGGGTCAGAGTTGATGGGAAGAAAAACCTGACGTAGAAGCAAAGATATTATGGGATGATTTAGATCAGGGGTGTCCAAAGAGAGGCCCGTGGGCCGTTTGTGGCCCTTAAAATTATGAAAATAAAGTTATAAAAGGACGAGAATAAAATTGACAATATTTGAGAATAAAGTCATAAAATTTAAAACAAATTCATGAGAAATAAATTTTAAATATTATGAAAATAAAGTTGTACAAGAAAAAACTCATAATATTACTACAATAAAATCAGAAAATTGAGAATAAAACTCCAATAATGAGAAAAAAGTCATGAAATAAAACGGCTTTATGAGAAAGTTTGAATGAAAATTTAAAGTTATTTACTGTATAATTTCTAAGGTTTTAAAAAATTATTTTATGTTTATAATTTGTTTTGAGCTACATTCATAAAACTTGAATATTTGCAGCAGGAAATCTCTGAACATGAAATGTTCTGGGTTTGTGAAGCCAACATGCAGTACTCCAGTCTCCCACCAGGGGGCGGATGATGACAATCTGATCTGATGAAATGATTTTAGAGCAAAGCAAAGATTTACATTTAGATTAAAACCAGAACTTCAGACACTCATTCATAATCCTCTGAAAGCTGAAGTTATTCTAGTTGTTTGTGTTTTTCTACCACAGTTTTTCCTTCCACCTAACCTTCCACCATTATGAACTGAGAGCTTCTTCAGAAATGAGGCTCCATTTCTTGTCCTGCTACATCATTATGTATTTTTTGCTTTGTAACTGAATCACTTCAATAAATGAACTATTTGTGGATAATTATTTAATTTCCCTGTTTTGCACTTTTTTCTTCCACTTAACTTTCTACTAATATATGCAGCCAGCTCAACCTCAAACCCCAAAAGGTTGTTGTGGTTCATGAATCCATAAAATTAAATTTACTTTTATAATTTTTGTACTTCTTGCAACTAAATCACATAAATTAATAAGTTTGTTCTCCATTTTTGTAAATTTTTCTCCCTAATTTTTCCTTCCACTGAACTTTCCACTGATATATGCTTGAATGCGTCCAGCTTCTTCAGCCGTTACATTTTTATGGTTCAACATTCCTGAAGGATGTCGATTAGTTTTTTGGTTTCCATTCTTAATAAGCCACAATCATCAAAACAAAAATATAAAGTAAATAAAGTATTTTTATAATTTATTGCACTTTTTGTTTTAATTTTTGAGACTAAACCAGTAAAATAAATGAAATATTTTTGCACAGGTTTGTTGTTTTCGCTGTTTTGCACATTTTTCCTCACACGTTTTTTCCTTCCACTAAACTTTCCATTGAACAAATCCAAGCGGCTTCTTCAGCAATGACCTTTTTGTAGCTCTCCCTCCCATAACAGGATATTTCTTCTTTAAAAACACATTCATGTTCTTGTTTTCTGGATGTTTTTGTTGTCTTGTGAGGAAAGTTTTCGCTGAAATGAACGCGATTACAGAACAACTCTAAAGATGTCCCCCTGCGTGGACTGCGTGGGGTTTCTGATGGGAATTAATGGAATAAATGCGGGTTTGGGTGATTCGTGGAGACGCACCTGTGTTTGTTTCCTAATGATCGCGGATGAAAGCAGCCAATCACCGCATCAAACCGCCAGTCAATCAAAGCGTCTCGTCTATTTTCTGCTTCTTCCAGCTTTAGTTGTGCGCTCAGAGTTTCTGCTCGCTCCTGCAGCCGCAGCAGCTGTGAGCTAGGTGGCCGCACTCCCGCATTTATCACGCAGCCAGCCACGCATCCAGGCAGGCAGCGCTGCGCATGGGCTCCGTCCTGCGCACCGGGGGATCTCCAGCAGCCGCAGCCGACAGGAGCGCACTGCCAGCCGGCTTGGGAGCAGCGCGCATCCCGCCTGGACTCTCCCTCTGAAACACTCCGCTTTTTCCTTTTCTTTTCTTTTCTTTTTTTTTTTTTTGCGGCTGGAAAAGAAGAGCGAGTGAGTGCGGAGTGAGGGGGGGAAACACGCGAAAACACTCCCCTCTTCTCTTCTTTTTATTTCCTGTCAGTTTGTTTTATTTCCTGCTGCCAGAAACCAGGAACCGGGACTGAAGCGAGCCGCAGCTCGGGGGATGAAGCCGAACTAGCCCCGCTGGTCGCGGCTCCGCGCTCGTTTTTCTGGATTTATTCCGCTGTGGAGGAAAAAAAAACGCAAAAGAAGCGACCCGGTGCGCACAGAACCCCTCTACTCTTCCTCTTCCTCTTCCTCTCCTCTTCCCCCCTCCTGTCTCCTCTCCATCTCTCTGTCCGTCTGCTGTGTCCATGTTTGTAGGTGATTTAGCTAAAATGCACCATCATCAGCAGCGGATGGCCGCGTTGGGGACGGACAAGGAGCTGAGCGACCTGCTGGATTTCAGCGCGGTAAGAGACGCGCCTCTCCGGCCGCCGGCAGCCGCGGCTCGGCGCCGCTGCGGAGCTCCGACTGCTGCTGCTGCTTTTAACTCACTTTAACTTCTGAGTAACTTCTCTTACAGAAACAAACTCTGTGCATATATTGTTGTTTGAATTTGATTTTCTGCCTGTGTGTGTGTGTGTGTGTGTGTGTGTGTGTGTGTGTGTGTGTGTGTGTGTGTGTGTGTGTTCAGACAATTGTGATGCTGCATCAGTAATTTTGTTGTCTTGTAGATGCCAAACAGCGATTTGAAAATGTTCCCAACATCCATGGTAGTATATCTCATTTTAAGTCTTTTTCTTTCTCCCTGTTCATGTGTCGCCTGATGATTTTTTCTGATTTTTACTTAGTTTCTGCAGCAGGATAGAAATGCTCGATGCTGGATTTGCAAAATGCATGACATAAAAAAGAGAGCAGGATTTTATCTCCAAACTTTATTTTAATTTCTTCCTCTCTGTTTGTGATGAGCAGCTTGTGTTTTGAACTTGACGGACAGGAAATCGAGTCTCTGCCATGTTTTTTTTTTTTTTTTTTTTTGCGCCTCTCCCCCTCTGGGAGCAACTTTTGTGAGGAGGAGGGAAAAGAGAAACTGAAACACCCTGAAATGCGCCGCAGCTCGCAGGAAAAAGCTCAGATTATGAAGCGTCCGGATGCAAATCGGAAATGAAAAGCAATTTAAGCGATTTAATGAAAATGTTGCAAATTACACCTTTAACATAGAATGAGGCCTGCAGGAAAATATGTAGAGAAATGTCCACAAATTATTTTATATTTTTTACAATTAACCACAAATTGACCAATTCTTAAAAACCCTGAACAAATGAAAGAGTTTTTTAATATTAAAGAGTTAAAACCTAAATGTTCTTGTTGTTTGCAGCAGGTCCCAATAAATCGGCTAATAAAAGTCTAATAAAATCCCTGCCAGCTCTTAAAGCTGCACTGTAATCTAAATATCACCATTTATTTCTCTAATTCTCCCACTTTTTCCTTTTATCCTTCCAGTTATCCTCATATTTCTACAACATCCTCCTGCATCTCAAACCCATCAGATTAATGACAAACTTTGTATCTAATGTGAATTTGAGTTTTTCTGGTGGCGTAGTTTTTATGTTTCGTGTTTTTGTTGAATTGGAAGCAGCATCCTTCGTCAGCGCGTTGAAACAAAGGAGGGCAGCAGCAGAGCCTCCTCTCTCTAATTTATGCGATTATCTTCCTTCATGGCGCCTCACAGCCGTTTATCGATGCTGATAATCCAGATTAGATCTTTTCATCCCGACCAGAAAAACGACTAAAACTGTCGCGTTCCCGCGTTTCTCCTGAAAATCGTGGCGTTTTCTGCCAGGGTGAGGCGCCTCTGATTGGCCGAGGAGCCGCCGCTTTAACTCGGCTTGTGTTTCTGCTGTACGTGTCTAGAGCAGGTGGTGGCTAGGTGTGATGGTTTTCTGCAACGTTTCAGTCTGAATGGATCGCTTCACTCCAGAATAAACCGGCACGTTCGTCCAAAGTGACCCTGAAAGGAGTTTCTCTCCTCCTGTGTGTTTGTCTTCTATGATGACTGGGCGTTCATCGAAACGAGTCAGAGAGTCGAGTCTGTCCTGAAACACCTGAGTGAATTATTTCACAGGGTGACTCTGCTGTCGGACCAGAGACTCGGCTCGCGGGACGGACGACCTGCTTCATGGTTTGTTTTAAAGTCTTCAGACAGACAAACATTCAGACTCGACCTTGATGTGGAAATCCTTGATTTTGAGACGATTTGTTCCCAAACTTTCCAGATTCCAACCAACAAACTCGAGACAATCCCAACTTTCTGACCTCTTAGATTTTAGACAAAATGAACTGATTGAACTCTGTGGACTTTGGCTAGTTGACCTGATAGTAAAAGCTAAACGGGTTTCCTGACTTTACCTTGAATTTAACTCTGAATAAAGAGACTTGAAGGTGTGAGACAAGTCTTAACCCTCATAGCCTGACAGGTTCCTGACTCGGGAATCGTAACTTGTATAAATCAGACTTCATGTTGAATTTGGAGGTTTGTCATCGTGGACAAACCAGTCGCTCTATTAGTGTCATCATGTCTTTGATTTGTTGGACCCGACCTTTGACCTGACTAAATTTAGGAGTTGGGACCTGACTGGATCATTTTGGGGACCTGACCGGATCATTTTGGGACCTGACTGGATCATTTTGGGACCTGACTGGATCATTTTGGGGACCTGACTGGATCATTTTGGGACCTGACTGGATCATTTTGGGGACATGATTGGATCATTTTGGGGACCTGACCGGATCATTTTGGGGACCTGACTAGATCATTTTGGGACCTGACTGGATCATTTTAGGGACCTGACTGGATCATTTTGGGACCTGACTACTTCTGACTTGGTGTCAGTTTTGCAGACTTGACTGAGAGGAAACTGTCTTGATTAAGAACGTGTGTCTGCATTAATCAGTCGTGGCGTTGCTCTGTCCAGGCAGAGATTCGGATCTTCAGTCTTGGTTTCACCGTACCTTTGGACTTGTTGGACCGGACTTGGAACTTGACTCAGTTGGGATTTGACTCTGGATCCATTAGTCTTGAGGTGAACTCAGCTGATCCTGCCTTATTTATACGTGATCTTTGCTTTGGGTTTACTCACCATGCCGTCGGTCTCTTTGGACAGGACTTGGACTTGGGGCAGGATTGGCCCCAGGTTGTCCCTGTTGGTCTTTATTTGGGACTGACTATGTGAGGCCTGACCTGAATGTTGCTCATCTTGACTTAAGACGTGAATCTGGATGACCTGGCATTGATGTACATGAAGTTTTAGGTCAGAAACTAAATGCTGGTCGTGTTGTGAGTCTCTGTCGTCTGGTTGGGGACGTTGGACGTTGCCTGTGTCCCGGTCTTGTCTCTAGACTTTCTAACCAGATCTTGACATCGTCTGGGTTTAAACCTCATTGACTTGTTGAACTGCTGTACCTTGTCTTGGACTCACTCCCTGTATTTACAGCCATGTTGGACTAGACCGCTCTAACCACGATGCAGCTAATGTTGACTAAGCATTTCATTCCAGATAAGATCAGGATTTTGGTCTTACGGAGTGGAAATCCAGTTTTAGGGCCGGAGATTCACATGCTAGTCTTGGTTTGGTTTGTCAGTCTGCTGCTGTGACTTACTGATAACTTCATGCTTGTTGGACCTGGAAGCTACCTTCCTTTAGCGAGGATTGGACTCTGGACACGTTGTCTTTGTCTTGACATGTCTTGTTCTCCACCATGGACTTGTCAACCATAACTGTGGACTCATTGAACCAAGTCTGAGGTCTAAATGGTTTGACTCTGGATGAATCGCTCTTGGTGTTGGACTGAGTTGTAGTTTTTGTGCCCTGGACCTTCCTGTTAGGACTTTAATTTATCGGACCGTATCTTGAGCTAACCTCAGTTTCAGACTCGCAGGACGGGACGGGTCCAACAGAGTCTGTCTCGTTGGATCTGTTGCTGGTCTTGACTAAGGATCAGGCCGACGTCTTGATATTAGACTTGCTCTTGGAGCTGCTTGTTGTGGCTTTGATTGCTCCAGATGTTGGCTGTGATGCAGAAGTTGCCAATCTTTAGTGAATTATGGACTTAAACTGTTGTTGGACCCTCTGGTTAGTCTTGAGTTGAGATTTCTGATGTTTGACTTCTTAAACATTACCTGTTTCACATGCCCACAGCATGTTTGGACTTACTTAGCCAGAATCAAGACCAAGTTCAAGACTTTGACCCTCTTGGTGTAAGATTTTACTCACAGTCGGTGTTGGACCCTCAAATTGAGATTTGATGATTTGTTAGATCTCCTGCCTCAGATTTACTTGTTATAACTTTTGTGTTAGACTGAGAGCCGATCCTAGACTTTAACTGAGCCTTTCTGACTTGATGTTTAATGACGATGTGAAACGTCCCTGTGACATGCAGACTAAGGTTTATAAAACTAACCCCAATCATGCATTAATCAGGGCTTTAAGTGCTGCTTGATGATCAAACCCAGTCCAAGTCATTATATGAAGACAAACTATTTAAAACATGTAGCTAATCTGAGAAAAGGCAGCAGATGAGCTGCGTCCAGCTGCAGACGTGAGGTTTTGGAGTGAAGCGCTTCATGCCACAGTGCAGTGCTGTAACTGTAGAGATGTTTCTTGCTGTTTGCAGCGTCGGTGCTCTCAGAGGTAATCTGCTCTGTGTTTGTCTTGTAGATGTTTTCCCCTCCTGTTAGCAGTGGAAAGAACGGACCCACCTCCCTGGGGAGCGGACATTTCTCCGGCTCAAGTACGTCACCGTCTCCCCTTCCTCTCTCCTTCTACTTCCTCTTGATCCTTTCTTTTTCCTCAGTCCTCCCTCTTTCCCTACACCTGCTCGCTGATGGCTGTTTGAATATTCCTGCAATGTTTGGGTTTTCTTCTGGAGCATCGCTGGGCGTCATGTTCTCTGAGCTGCTTGGTTGACATGTCTTTGTTGGACAGAGTGACTTTTAAAACTTAGTTTTTGACTTGAGGATTGTGTTGTTTTTGCTCAAACTGCCTTTGCAGCACATTTTCAGTGACGTTTCCGAGGCTGACCAAAACCCCACGGTGTTTATATTGTCTTTTATTTTCGCTGTGATGCATCAACGTTGTTGCTCATGTTGGCTCCTGATGGAGACTTCCTGTTTTTCTGATTTGCTGCTCTTATCCTTTCCTGCCGGTGACGTTGCTGAGATCGGTACATAACCCTGGTGATTACATGCATTGTTTGGGTTCAGAAGCAGAGGATCAAGCTGTGGGTTTTCAACATGCAGTTCCTTATATCGCAGCTCATTTTATTCTCCTGTTGCCACTTCTTGTTGGTGCTGCTTGTTTTTATTAAGCTCTTGTTGTGAATGTTTGTGTGCTGATGGTTTTAAGGTCTGAAGCTGGAAAACGTGACAGAAGAATCCATGAAACGCAGTTCGGTTGGTTTGTTGTTGGTCCGACTGTGTCGAGGAGCCGATGGCGTTAAGGGAAGAAAACCTGAACTTTGGGGATTATTTGAAGATAAACTGATTTATAAAATCCACACTATGCCAGCTTCCTGTTACCATCTATGGACTCTATTTGTGGGACGGCATCCAGTCGGCTTTTAGGCTAATTTCACACAACAGGCTAATGAGACAAAAATACGACTTTTTCACGGCCCGGTTCTGATCTTTTCACCCCCAAAAAATCCAGTTTGAAGCAGTTCCAAACTGGAACTGAATCGTATCTGAAAGATTTTAAAGATTGAAAGTCTGGTGTTGATTTTGTAATCGATGGGTAGAGGCGGCGGCCATGATGACTGCCGTAAACAGAGCGCTGCTGCTGGGCGACGTCAGCGGGAAGCTTTGGGGTCGTAAACCGTTCACACAGAAATCTGTATGAACTGATTCCTGTGTGAACTGATTCATGTATGAACTGTTCACGATTAGTAGCAGGAAACAGTTTATCATCAAGATCTGCCGTGGGACCCATACAGCTAATGGAGTTAGCGTTAGCTAAGGTGTTAGCTGTGTTTGACGCTCGTTTTGCTTGTTACTGAACATGATTAGCTTTCCAGATGAACACAGCCCGTATCATTACCCCTCCACCACCGAGCTTTACAGAGGATATGAAATATTTGTCATGACTACAGAGTTAAAGGCATCAAATTAGACTCCAGTTTAGCTGGATTTCAGAAATCTTTGAATTCTTCCTCTGCTGCCCGTCAGTCCATCTCCACACTTCCTGTTCTAAAGTCCCATCAGCAGCGAATCGGGTCGTTTTGTTGGCGCTCTGCCTCCAAGCGAAGCTCGGAAGCCATTTTGTTTCTTGGCTGAGAAGCAGAGGGACGGCGAGGTGTCGCCTTTGTTTACCGCGCCGATGTGCCTGGTTGTTGTTTTCGGAGAGGTTGTCTGCTCCCACGCCGTGAATGCAGATCGGAGGGAGGACGACAAATTTACGGATTTGGCAGCTCGCTCGCCCCTCTCTCTCTCTCTCGGTTCTGTTGGGCCCGAGGTTCTCTAACTCATAACCGGAATGTTCCTTTTATTTTGATTCACATAGTTGTATCACACAAACACACGTGCACCGCTCTCCTTGGACGAATCACGCCCAGGTTCACACACACACACACACACACACACACACGCGCGCGCGCGCGCGGCCTGCCACCCCCGCTGTGGCTTTCTCCAGGCCTCGGCATTTTGATGAGCCGGCTGCTGTTTGTGAATGCAGCTAATTAGAGCCCTACAGGCTTACACAACCACCAGGCTGAGGTTCCCAACCGCCGGGGCGCGGCCTGAGGCTGGGACGGGCCCCGAGCAAACGGGGTCCTTCACACGTTCCTGAATTAACTTCGGCTTTTTATCTGAGCTTACGCGGAAGAAGAAACATCCGAATTAAAATCTGCTTTGGTTACAATTTTCACTTAATTTGAGAAATGTCTTTATTGGAGCGAAAAGGGAATTTATTTGAGTAATCCAAGTCAGTTTCTCTGATAATTAGAAGATCAATGAAAATGATCAGTTATTGACAAACTGCAGAGTGACGTATCCAAGTGTACTTGATGGAAAGTTGAGTGGTAGGAAAAATAGTCGTAATAATACAAGAATATGTCGTACAGCAAGTCGAAATATTACAAGATTAAAATAATGAACAGCTTTCAGGTCTGAGATGTTTTCCTCTGGAGAGTGATGAACTCCAGGTAGCCTGGAGATGACCTTTGACCCTTCCCAGGTTGATGGGCAGCGGCTGCAGCTCTGCTATTCCTCCCTGTCGTCTGTGTGACACAAAGAGGGATTTTTAAAATGTATTTTTTTTCTAATAAATTGACATTTTTTTAAAAATGTAATTGCAAAAATAATATTTTTATTGTTTTTATTTGTTTATTTTTCTACCTTATTATGACGACTCGAGTGTGTGGTCCGCGTGGCATTTTTTAATGTTTTTATTTAAATTTTAAAAATATGTGTTATTATGTATTTCTATTTTTCTACCCTGGTTCAGAGCAGAAAGTTTTTTTTCTTTTTAATTAAGCTCTTTATTTGTAGTTTGGCTTTTACACTAAAAAAATACAGTTTCTGTTTTTGCAGCTAAAAATAATTTCTGATAAATGTGTTTGGAGGTTTTACTCTGATTTGTTCGACTAAAGGAGAAAATGTAATTAATTTGTGACGTTTTCTATTTTATCATTTTCTAATTCCAGTTTTAGCCACAAACGTTCTCAGCCTTCATCCCTCCTTTCATTTCCTGTCATTTCTGTCTGAAAATCTGCACATTGTTGCTGCAGCGTTTAAACGAAAGCCGTGAAGCGGAGGTGAAAACATGTCGAATGCTAAGCTAAATCAGGCCCAGGCTAATGAATAAACCACAAAGAGCCACTTGTTTCCTGATGAGATTGGATTCCCAAATGACAGCTTCCCTCTCTGAATTAACGCCTTCATTCCGGGCCAGAAACTCACCGCCGCACAAAGGCCTCCAAACACGGGCGAGCGAGGGGCGAGCGAGGGAGCGGTGCGGCCCACGGCGGCGGCGCCCACGGTCACCGCCAACCAGGAAGTGGATTAGGAGCTTTAATTATTGAGAGATTTTAGCGTTGTTGTTTATTTTGGATCATCCCTGGAAAGATAAAGACACAGAGAGAGAGAGTGTGTGTGTGTGTGTGTGTGTGTGTGTGTGTGTGTGTGTGTGTGTGCGTGTGTGTGTTTCTTTGTGTGTAATCTCCTGGATGAAGCCGTACGGCTTCACGTCGCCCATCAGAACCGCCGCCACTCGTCCTTCCTGGTTTCACCGGGAAACGGCAGAATGTTCTGGACCTGCTGGGAGTCCAGGTCAGGAAGAGCTGCAGAGGTCAGAGGTCAAACCAGGCGCAGCAGAAACCATGGAAACAGAAGGAAACGATCCACTGGAAGAGAAGAAACGAAAGAGACGAGAGAAAGTTCTGATGGGGATGGACTGGATCAGAACCACAGACCGACTGACCGTCAGTCCATCCATCCATCCATCCATCCATCCATCCATCCATCCATCCATCCATCCATCCATCCATCCATGATATCTCCGGCTTCCTGTTCAGGGAGTTGAACTTCCAGCTCAGGTTTTCTTCAGGTTTTCCATAACTCTGACCCACAGCATGATGCTGCCACCACCATGCGTCACAGTGGAGTTTATTTTTACTGATTGCTGTTTCTGATGAAACTTTTCATGTTTTAGTTGTAAAAATGGAGGCAGCTCATTCTGACGCCGCTGCTGGAGTCGGTAACCGAGGCCAGAGACCGTCGCCGTGCTGCAGTAAAGCGGATTAAACTGCTGCGCTTCCACCCTGACAGCACCAACAATGCTCTTTCTCCGTCAGTCTCAGCGTTGGAGTTTGTATTATTTGCTGTGAATGTATTAATGGTTATAAATATCCGCTCCTTTCAGTGGATTTCACTCCATTCATCTCTCTTTTCCTCGTCGAAACCTTAAAGACAAACGCGGGGCGCGTCACGCGTTAGCGGGCGGATCTGGGTGCGCGCGGCCCGATGGCGCGCCTGATTTTTGTTCCCCTAATTGGCATAGCTTATTAAGTCACAGTTGGCAGCGGGGCAGAAAGGGGGTTGCTTTAATAACATCCCCTCTCCGTTTGATTTGATGCACTTGTTCCGAGGCCGATAACGCCGCGCGCCGCCCCCGCCGCCGCCCTCCTGTCTTTATCCGGTGAAATGTGGCTCCGTTCCGCCCGTCACTCAGCGCCGCCGCGGCTGACGGCGTTCAGGATAGAGCAGTCCTCGCCCCCCGCCGCCGCTCGCTGCTAAATTGTCTCGTTTTCCCCGGCATGGCGGTGCAGAACGGCTCACAAAAACACCCAGCCATGCTCCTAATTGTGCCTGGATTAGGGATTAATAGGCGTTTTTAGCTATAATGGCAAATATTATTAGCCCCATTTGCTTTTCTAATGCTAATAATGACTTTACTAATAAAGGCAGTGATTTCAAGGTTAGCGCCTGTGAGCTCCGATCGCAGCCGCCGGTTTTCTTCCTTAAACTCAGGAGAGCAGCGTGCTCCGACGGGCCGGCTCGCCACCGAGTCGGCGCGCCAGATGTTTTCCCCCAAGATGAAGCCCAGAGGTGCTGCTAGCTTTAGCTCCCACTTTGGGCTCTGAAATCATCTAAAAGCAAGACAAACTTAACACTTTAAATGGCTTTTACTTGTTTTTATGTTTGTTTTCTGTGATTCTAGCTTTTGTTAGGTTTTCAAATTGCTTAACACAAAGTCAAATTTAACATTTTACATCTATTTGAGCTGTTTTAATGTTTCTTGTGCTCTTTACTTCCCACTTTAGGCTCCAAAATCACACAAAATCAAGTCAAACTTAATATTTTAAATCTAGTTGTTTTTGTTTGTTTGTTTGTTTGTTCTCACTTCCCACTTCAGGCTCTAAACTCATAAATTAAAGTCAAATTTAACGTTTCAAA